CGACCCCAGCTCGGACCTAAGTCTCTCCGCCGACCCTCCTCCACCTTCTCCACTCTGCCCAGGCCCGGGCCCAGGTGAGTAAGACTGATCTTAGCGGATCCTCTCTGCCCCCATTCATGCTCAGTTCTCCGGCCCGCTCTGCCTGACAGGGGTCCTGGGCTGCGCTGCCCCTCTTGCCCCTGCCTCAGTCTCCCCAGCTCTCCTCTTCCTCTCGGACCATCCCTCCCAGCGCTGCCCAGCATCATGTTCTGTTGTCCCTGCGGGGAGGTCCTGACACTCACTTTTTCCTCTGAGGTCAGGAGCACATTACTCACTCTCCCTCTTCCCCTTCCTTGCTGACTCAGGGGCCCCCCGGATCTACCCCTGTGCCCCAGGCCCCTCTGGGTGCCGGGCAGGGTCAGTCCTGGTGGGCAAGTGCTTCTCTGCCTCGGGCGTCTGCACAGTGGCTGCTACCTGAAGCCCAGTTTTGTCTGATGTGTCTTGTTTTCTTTGGGGACCTGCGGAGGGAAGAGGGGGTGGCTGCTGGGGATCCCACTTCTGAGACGCTCCTATTAGCCCTGGCGTCCTTGAAACCAGAAGTACCTGCTCAGGCTGGGGAAGGGGGCTGTAGGGATCCCTGGGGCTGCCCTGGGCCTGCCTCGCTGACATCATGGCTGACCCTGGCTCCTGCTCACCCCATAGATGTCGCCCTCCAGCCGCCTGTATCTCCTCACCATTGTGGGCCTGATTCTCCCCACCAGAGGTAAGGCCCAGCCCTTGTCTCCACCCTGCTCCGGAGCCCCCAGCCCTACCTCGAGGGCCCGGCTGGGTGGGCAGCTAGTGGGGTTGGATGTCCTATCCTGTGTCCTCACTTCCTACTGAGCTGGCACCAGGAAGTGGGGGTCCCAACGAAGGGGCCAAGATTACATTCCTTTTGGACACCTCAGACCTGGGTGGCTGCTTCCAAGTCTGGCCAGAGCCTGTCCTGCTGAGCAGCCTCCATTTCACCTCCCAGAAGAACTGAGTTTGATTTGGCGAGGAGATGGGTGTCGGTTTTCTACTCAGCAGCCAGGAGCCCTGGGCTCCCAGCAGAGCAGCTCGCTGGATGCCCGGGTGATGCACAGTTAGGCAAAGGGGGTGAGCCAGGGCCAGTCCAAGAGCTGGAGATGTCTCCCCTTGGCCTGGAAGTGCTTTCTGAAGGCAGCAGCTATGGTGGCATTGGCAGGTGCGTTCTGCATGGCACTGTGTGGGAGCTGTATTATATACAGCTTTACTGTATTATATTATACGTGTTGCCCTGCCCGTTTTACAATGAAGAAATAGACTCAGCAAAGGGAAGTGTCTGTGCCAGAGGCTAATGAGTGGAGGGGCTGGGCCCAGTCATGCTGTCTGTCCCAGAACCCAGAGCACACTGTCCACTCACTGCCGCAGCTCTCTTGGATACAATGGTTTTTGTATATTTCATCAGTCATGCAACAAGTATTCGTTGAGCAGCTACTATATGCCAGATCTTATTGCATGCACTGTGGAAACAGCAGTGTATAAAACAGGGGCTCACATTCTATTTGGGAAAGACAGAAACCCATTGGTAAGTTACATAGTATTCTAGAAGGTGATACGTGTTATGGAGGACAGGAATGAGGCTTGTTTGAATGGGGTGTTCAGAGAAGACCTTACTAGGAGGTGACATTTGGGCAGACACTTGACGGAGATGAGGGAATGAGCCAAGCAGGTATCTGGGGGAATGAGTGAGTCTGGTGAGGAACAGCAGGTAGGCCAGGTGGCTGGGTTGGGTGAACAAGGGGCAGGGTGGGAAAAGGAGAGGTTAGAGTAGTGACAGTAGGGCCAGGGCGAGGCACTGACTGCATGTTAAGCAGTGGGGGAGACTCTTCCCCCCTCCATCTCATTTCACGCTCTCTAAGGTCTGAGAAGTCGATTCAGTCATCCCCACCTTGCAGTCAAGGCTCAGAGTGGGTGACACAGCAAGGGAATGGCTGGGAACAGCACTTGAGATGAGGGCCCTGGCTGACTCTAGTGCCTGGGCTAACCCATCTCCCCCATCCCACAAAGATGGGCAAGGAGAGGGGCTGGAGGAAGGGTGTTGGGGCATTAGCATTTCTTAAAACACTTCTAAGATCATGTATTGATATCACCAAAGCTGATCAATCAAAGAGCTGTCTGCTGATCTACCAGCAGAAGGACCTCCTGAATTACACGCCCCCAAAGGCTTCAGAAGGGAGGGTAAGTGGGGCTGTTGGTGAAGGAGGACCAGAGCCTACTCCCTGGCTTCTCATCCTTGATTTCTCAGGACAGACACCCACGGAGGCCACATCCATTTCTCTAGCAGACTCAACCACTGTGAACATTCATGCCCTGGCTCAAACCCCAGGTGAGGAACGAGGGACAGACCTGGTAAGATCCTGTCATTGCAAATAACAATGGCAATACAATTCTCAAACTGGACCAAACAGGTTTTTTTTGAATTTGTGTTACTGAAAAATCCAGGGATAGACCTTCAGGTGTGGCTTGATCTAGGTTCTCAAATGATGCTATCAGGAACCTGTCTTCATCTCTTGGTTCTGTTTTCTCTGTGGTGGCTTCATTCTCAGGCAGAGTCTCCTCTCTTTTTAAAAAAATATATTTTATTGATTTCTCACAGAGAGAAAGGGAGAGGGACAAAGAGCCAGAAACATCCATGAGAAACATCGATCAGCTGCCTCCTGCACGCCCCCCACTGGGGATGTGACCGCAACCAAGGCACATGCCCTTGACCGGAATTGAACCCAGGACCCTTGAGTCCGCAGGCCGAAGCTTTATCCACTGAGCCAAACCGGTTCTGGCAAGATTCTCCTCTTATAGTGCCAAGATGGCGTTCAGATACCTGGGATTTCCATCCTACCTGCTAAGAATCCGGAGGGAAGAGAATTTTCCCTTCCCCAATCCAGCAAATGTCCCAGAACTGAGTGTCATTGACCAAGCTCAGGTCACATGCCCACCCCTGAGCTCTGTGGCCACAGACGCAGAAAGCTGATTAGCCAGACCTGGGTCTCATGTTCAACCTCCAACAGGGCTGGTGCCAGCCGCCACTGAATTAAGTAGGCTGAGGGTTGGGGAAGGATGGTTCCCCAAAGGAAGTTCCAGGCTCTTACCAGAGGTGAGTGGATGCTGAGAAGGGGAATGGGAATTGGTGGGAGGGGAGAGCAGTGCCTGAGACAGGGAAGATGCTGCCATTGATTGCATTTAGGCAACGAGGAAATGGCTGGATTAATTAAGTCATTTCTATGACATCAAAATTAAGTTGCTATGGAAATACTCCTGTACCTCCATTCCTGGACCCCCTCACCTCTTCTCTTTTCTCTCCCTGTTTCTGGACTTCAGACGCAGTTCATTCAGAACTCCAGTCCACCCCTCAGACTTCAACTCTGCAGGCTGGTGGTGAGTGGGGCAGCGATACGGGGGGAGGTAGACCTGGGACCAACATTGTTTCCCCACTTTCTCTGACACTCTGGGTCTTTGGTTACCCATTTCAAACCTCCCAACTCTGAATCTCCGGGTTTAATTTGTGGTTGGACAGCCAGCCAACTCATTCACTTCTTTAAAAAAAATCTTTTGGAATCTTGAAAAATAATATGCATGTAGAAAAGTACAAAAAACATAAATGTACAACTTAGCAAACCATTCTGAATTGAACCCCTGTGTAAACCACCACCAGGTCAAGGAATAGTTTTGCAAACACCCCAGAAATTCCCTATGTGCCAACCCCATTCACTTCTTCCTTTAATCTCTTTATCTTTTCCCCTTTTAAAAATGTTCAAGTCATTTTTGAACTTTTTCTTGGAGTCTAACATAATTCAAAAAGTGCTCGTCATTTTTTTTATTAATGTTTAATGGTACAGGTGTATATAAACACATTCTGGGAAGTAATAAAAATGTGGTAGGCAAGACAAAATCCCTTTGTCCATTCCCCATCCCTGTAGTCTCTCCCATCTCGGGGAGGTCCCCACTGTTAGCATGGGGTTGGGAGCAGTCCCCCAATGAGATTGTATCACATGTGTGTAACCTGGAGAAAATATGCTGATTGGGAGGTATATTTGTGTGAGCTTAAGGATATTACATGGTTGTGTTTCTGCAACTGGCCTTTTCCCCCATGAAATAATGTTTGGAAATTCTTCCCACATTCCCGTATAGACACTGATCTTGTCCTTTTTCACTGCTAACTTCTCCACAGGGTACCGGTGCACAGTTAATGAATGTATGCACATCTTTTAAAAATATGTATTTTTATTGATTTTTAGAGAGAGAGGAAGGGAGGGGGAGAGAGAGAAACATCGATGTGAGAGCAGAAGATTGATTGACCGCCTCCTGCATGACCCCAACTGGGAATCAAACCCCAGCAATCGGGTTTGTGGCCTGCCTGGGAATTGAACCGGTGACCTTTTGGTGCATGGGATGACACCCAACCAACGGAGCCACACAGGCCAGGGCTCTCCACATCTTGATGAGCACCTTGGTCACTTCCAGTTTTTTCTGCCACACACAGTGCCACAATGAGCAACCTTGTCCCTTTCCCTTTGATCAAACACAGCACTTAAGTGACTGTTTGGGTCTAAATATTTTACCCTTGTTCACTTGTTCAATTTTCACACAGTTCTTCTAAGGTAGAAATGATCATTATCCCCACCTTAGAGATAGGGACATGGAAGCTCAGAGTAACTTGCCCAAGTTGTCACAGCATGTCAGTGATGTGGCTTGGATCGGGAACCTGGCTCTAAAGCCCAGCTTTTGCCCACAATACAATGGGGCTAAGGGCATGAACACTAAAATTTGTTTTCAAGGCCATCTGGAAATGGCCGCATTGATTTGCCTGCCACCAGCAGTTACACAAGTCCCCCTTCCCCACTCCCACAGTGCCACTCAGCTTAAGAACATCTTTGATCTGTGCCAGCGGGACCTGGGGAAGAGGGCCCCTTGCAGTTCTGTGGATCCAAGCTGCTCATTCACTTGTTTCTTGCCCTCCCCACCCTTCTCTTCTGACCTCAGTAGAAACACCAACCCAGACGCAGCAACTGAAGGGAGAGACTGTGCTTCTAACCACAGACCCGGAGATGGATGAGAGCAGCACGGAAGGTAGAGCCTTGCACTAGAACAGGAACGTGCAAGTTTTGTTTAATTCTCTTCTAGGTCAGCTTTTCCCCAAGGATATTTCTCAGAGCACCCGTTTGGGGAGTTCTTAATACATCTTCCAAAAACATTTTTTTTGGTTTGCCCAGCCTGTGTGGCTCAGTGGGATTTGCTGTCAAAGGTGTTTGTGAAACTCTAAGATAAAGTTAATCACGTTTCTTTCTGGCAGGATTTTCCAGAGTCTCAACAAACCTTATTGCAGCAAGTGTCCACAGAGGGGCATCTAATTTGTGACATTTTCCAAGCCTAATAGACTCAGGATGCTCTTTTGTTCAGGTTCCTTCACAGGGCTGGGGCCGGGAAATGTGGCTATAGGTGTTTCCCTTGTGTATGTCTTCTTGTTAGAGCAGGAACTTTTCAAGTGTAAATTACAGAAAACCCAACTAAAATAAAAGCTTATTGGCTGTATATGTTCTGTGAAGTCCAGAGGTACCACTTTCAGGCATGGTTGGATCAAAAAGCTCAAGTCATCAAGACAGACTTGCTCCTTCTCTCTGTTGTCTTCATTCTCAAGTGGCTTTCTCCCTCTTGGTGGCAAAGATGGCCCCATAGTTCTAAGTGTAGGTATCAAACTCAGCTAGAGCACATCTCTTTCTCGTCATCTGCACCCCAAGGTCCATAATTGACTTTCATTAGCACAGCTAGGGTCACATGCCCATGTCTGACCAATGAAAACATGGGAAAAGGGCTACTCTGATTGGGCAGGCCTGAGTTTTGGGCTCAGACCGTTGGGCTGGAGAGCCTGGTCAGCCTTGTCTGAATTGCATAGACCAAGAGTCAGGGAAGAGGTGGTTCCCTTAACACCAGTGAGCAGCAAGTGTTCCCAGCAGTGTGGGGAAGGGGGCTGAGACCAGATGAAGGTGGCCTGTGTGATGCTCCATATTTGAGGAGCAGCCCCTCCTGGAAAGGACCTGTAGCTTGGGCTACTCCTTGGCTGAGGTGCATCCACAGTGTGCGTTTTGGGCACTGGGCAAGAGCACCACCTCTAAGGCCATGCCATTCCCCTATAACAGTTTTTATAAATGTTAGTTTTCCAGTGATGGCAGTAAACTACCACATTCTGACAGAATCTGTCTATTAAAGCCATTTTATGACAGATGGAACTAAAGGGTCTTGGGGAAGGGAACATCCCCAAGTGGGGTGTAGCAACTCTTTCCACACTTCCCAATTGAGAAAATATCTCCATGTCCCTCATTCACTTGCTCTGAGTCCTTGCTGACCGGAGTTATATGTGCTGTTCCATACTCCTGGTTATGTGCGACTGAAATTCAGCTGAGCCTCAGGGCCACCCAGACCCTGAGCACGGAAGCCCCCAGTGCCCCTCTGCCTCCATCTTTGTTTCTCTTGTGCTGGAGCTGGTCTCCCGCCTTGGCTCCTGTCATCTGCTGGTTCAGAGCTGCCCAGCTTCACCTCGCCTCCACTGAGAATCCCTTCTTGGAATTTGCAAGGTCCCAGGGAAAGGCGAGACTGGGTCACGTGCTCCCCCTTGTGGCCTGGGTTACAATTGGCGAACAAGATAGACGGGAAGCCTGAACACCTCCCACCCCCAGCCCAAGAAAGGGGAAGCTGTTCCCAAAAGAATGGAGGAGTGCGTGCCAAGTAGATAATAACAGCCAACGTTAGCTGAGAGTTTGCTCAGTGCTGGACCCTGTGCTAAGCTTTCATGTATTCACTCAATGCTTATAACCATCACCTTAACCCCATTTTACAGGGAAGAAACTGAGGCCCAGAGAGGTTATTTTGATAGCCCTAGGCCACAGCCCTAAGTGGCAGAACTAGAATCTGAGCCAGGCTCTGTAGGGCCATGGTGCCTCAGCACCACACGCCACCCAGGCTGTCTCTTACATTTTCTGTCCCTGCTATTAATCTTGCCTACCTCTGTTCAAGGCTTTCCCGAACATGTCAGCATCCTTGGCTGATGGTTCATGTTTTGGGAGTGAGGAGCTTAGATTGGCCTGGGGAGCTCCGGGTTCATGAGGCAGCTTTTCTGCCTGTTGACTTCACACTGGAGCATCAGACAGTAGTAGCCATTTCACTGGGACACTTCTCAGTGCCAGAGGGGCAGGTCAAGAGAAGGATCCTCTGGTATTTTCGGCCTGGGAGCAGAGGTGATATTCAAGATGTTTTATAACAAGTGCCTCCAGGCTCTGTAACTGGGCCGGGGTCCTGGGGGCACCCAGCCTGGTTATGACAGATGTTATCCTTTACTTCCTGGGTCTGGGCCGTCCACAAAGTCCTAGGAGAGGGATCAGGAGGTTGGAGGGAATCCTATATAATAAAAGACCAGTGATCATAACGGTGTAATGACCAGAACGACCGATTGACCAGTCGCTATGAGGTGCATTGACTACCTCTTGGTCCCTCCCTCCAGCCCTCAGGCTCCAATAGCTGGATGGCGGACAGGGGACCATGGCAGGGCGGGAACAGGGACTGGGGACTGGGCAGAACAACCAACTTCTTGGACTCCAACTGGGGTGGGTGGTGGCAGGGCGGGACTGGGGACTGGCAAGCAGGCAGAAGGCAGGCCTCTTGGTCCCTCCCCCTGGCCTGCAGGCTCTGATCACTGGATGGCAAATGGGGAACCACGGAGAACCAGGGTGGGCAGCGGTGGGGCGGGACTGGGGATTGGCGAGCGGGCAGAAGATGGCCCTGCTCACAGGCTAGGCCTAGGGACCCTAACTGCGCACAATTTCATTCACTGGGCCTCTAGTTTCAATATATTCATTATTTACTGGCTTCAGGGGTCGGAGTGGGGGACACATGTGCCTGCCCACTGCATGTGTAGGTGTGGGAAGGGGGTTTCTCACAAAGACACGTTCAGTAATGCCCCTTGTTTCTCTCCATGGCTTGCTTCTGCCCTCCACCATCTTTTGGCCACTCTCTCTGCTGATCCCACTAAAGGCACCACACTCTCCAAGCAGTTTCCAGACAAAGACTTCGCAACAGACCCTGCCCGCAGGCCTACTGGTCAGTAAGTCCCCAGATTGGAAACAGGCCATTTCCTACTGACTGTGTGTTCTAGCGCCTGGAATACTGCCTCAGTAAACATATGTTGGGTGAATACACAACTTCAAGGCTGGCAGAGGGTGGGTACAGGATAGGCACACAATAAATAGAGGAATGAATACATAAATGAATGTTGCATGCAAGCCACCCCAAAACTCAGTGACTCAAAATGACAATCATTTATTTAGTTTTTGAGAACTAAACTTGAGTCTGCAATTTGGAAGTTTAATCTGGGCTCAGTGGGTGGTTATTCTGTTCTCACCTGGATTTATGCATCTGAGATCATTTTGGGGGGTCAGCAAGGAGCTCTGCTTCTAGAGGCACCATGATTCTTCCCCTTGTTCTTCTGTCTTCCACTTCCTGACCAGCCAGCCCCAGTGAGCAGATGGAAATGATATGTCCATGCGACACATTCATTCATTCATTTATTCATTAAAAAGATATTCACCTAGTGCCAGGCACTGTTCTAGGTGCCAGGATATAGCAGTGAACAAAGCAACAAAAATCTTTGCCCTCATAGAGCAGACATTCTAGTGGGGGGAGAGACAAAAAAAATAATAGCCATATTAGTTATATGTCATGTGGTTTTAAAGTTGTTATAAAAAAAAAATAAAACAGGGTTAAGTTGAGAGAGTGACTGGGATTATTTCTGTAAAGGGCATGGAAGGCCTCTCTGAGGAGTTGAAGGGGATGCATGAGGATATCTGGGGAAGCACTCTGGGCAGAGGGAGCAGCCAGTGCCAAGGCCCTGGAATGATCTGGCAGGTCATGAGCAGGGCTGGAGCAGATAATGAGGGGAGAGTGAGGAGGTAAAGTTAGGGAGGTGATGGGAGCCAGATTGTGTGCCACCTGAGAACTTTAGGTTTTGTTCTAAGTGCACCAACATTGAGACACAGGTGTCCCCTCTCCCTGATCCTGTCATTTACTGATTCACTTCACAATCTTTTGCTGAACTTCAACTTGCTCTCTGTCTGTCCCCTGCAGATTCAAGTGAAGATGATCCCTTCTCCTATGGTAAGTTACCCAGGGAGGATTCAAGGGGGAGGAAGGGTTAAGGCCCTCTTACCACACTCCTCCACTTTTCTCTCTGCAGATAATTACACTCTCCGGAAACATGGGCTGTTGGTCGCAGCTGTGCTGTTCATCACAGGCATTGTGATCCTCACCAGTGAGAATGGGCATTGGATGGGAGGGGCACCAAGACTGGGAGGAAGGAGACCTTGGCGTGGGGGTAGGCCAGGGTCGGGGTAGGTTCATGAAGGCTCCTGGGCAAGGCGAATTTAAATGAGGCATATCTCTTAGCTTCATAGCCATACAAACCACCACAGAATTCAGTGGCTTAAAATGGCAGCTGTCTACTTAGCTTTCAATTCTGAAATTTGGAAATGTAGGCTGGGCTCAGCTGGGTGGTTCTTCTGGTCGCTGCTGGGTTTATTCATGCATCTGAGGTCAGCAGGGACTTCTGTTTCTGTTGGCACCTTGGTTCTTCACCTCATTGGCCTCGGCTTGTTCATGTGGTGGTGGCGGGATAACTGGATGGTGCAGTATCCAGGACTAGTAGCCATGGGGAGCAGTAATTACACTGGCCTAAAAGGTCGAGAGATAGAACTATCAGAGAGGTTTGCAGCCCCTGCATCATTGTAACCCAGCCAGGAGGGAGCAGGACGGAGGGGACCAGATACATAAACTTTTCTCTCCTGTCCTGCTCTCTCCTGCAGTGCCTCCTTGCCACTGCTGAAGGAGAGGGCGAGGGCCTGAGATTTTGGCCTCTCAGGTCAGCCGGCTCCCAGGGCCCAGCATCACATGGGGAAGGGAGCAGAAGGAGACTAACAAGCAGAAAAACTACTTTTAAAAAAAGTTTTTAAAAAGCTTCACATGAAATAAAACACTAAGGTCCACCAGTTTGCAAGCTCTCAGTTAAACTGTGTAACCTGCACCAAGTTTTATTACCTCTCTTGTCCCACTTTCTCATCAGGAAAATGGGCACAGCCACATCTTTTTTGTCTTAAGGTGGGAGGCAGAACACTGACAGAATAAAAAGAGATTGTTAACATGTTAACACGTGTCTGAACCTCATTGAATCAGGGGTCAAGCAACATGTGTTTATTGATCCTGACTTTGTGTCTAGCCTGACTCTCCCCAGTGGAAAAAGTGAGGCTCAGAGAGTTGGACTGGATCCAGGTCTGTGTGAGGACAGAGCCTGAATGGTAGTTCTGGGGCCATAGATTGTTCCAGAGACAAATATTTTGGGCACCTACTCTATGCCCAACATGTGCTGTGATGCTGGTCTTGCCCTGGGGGAGCTCAGAACTCATAGGGGGACGACAACAAACAAGCAGTAGGTCAGTGCCTGGCATGTAGTAGGTAAATGCACTAACAAGCAGAGTGGACACAGAGAAAGATAATAACACGAAGAAAATAAAGCCATATGATGTGACTGAGAGGGGAAGGGAGAGCTGCTCTCTCTCAAGAGGTAAAATCAGAACTGATTCCTGAGGATGAGAAAGATGATTAAAAAAACCAAAGAGGTAGAGGGAGGAGCCCCCGGTGCAGTAATGAGCTGAGCATGTGGCAATAACTGTGGAAAGGGGCTGAACAGGCCAGGGGTCTGGGAAGTAAGGGTGGTGCCCAGGAGTCCCCTTTGTTTTCTGAAATCCCCTCTCATTCACTGTGGTCCAGCCTCCTGGCCTCCCTGCTGCTCCTTAAGCCCACCTGTTCCTTCCTACCCCAGGGCCTTTGCAGTGACTCTTGACTCTGTGTGGAATACTCTTCCTTCAGATGTCCAAGTGGCTCCCCCATCACCTCCTTCAGGTCTTCTGCCTCCTTCCTGGCTTTTTCTTTATAGCTATAGCATGCATCACCTTCTGACTTATCACCACCTGTACACTTGACTTAGTGTTGTTGTTTTTTTTAAATCCTTACCTGAGGATATGGTTGTTGTTTTTTAAATTGATGAGAGAGAGGGAGAGGGAGAGAGATGTGAGAGAGAAGCATCAATTGGTTGCTTCCCATACATGCCCCAACTGGGGATTGAACCTGCAACCTAGGTATGTGCACTGATCAGGGATCAAACCTGACATCTTTTGGTACACTGGATGACACTCCAACCAACTGAGTCACCCGGTCAGGGCTAGGCCATTGATCTTATTCCTGGTCTCCCCCACTAGAAAGCCAGCTCTACCAGAGCAAGTATTCTAGTCATTCTTGTTCCTGGCTGTATTCCCTGGGCCTAGGTCAGTGCCTGGCACATAGTTGGTACACAGTAAACATCTGTGGAACGAATAATACACAAGTTAGGAAGGTTTCCAAAGTACTCCTCTATGTGTGGGAGAAGGTCCTCCCTTGGGCCCTGCACCAGCTCTTCTCCTATCTGCTGCTCATCACTTGCTCAGAGTTGCCTTGGTGCTTCCCGAGGAGCAAGGTTGATGGGCTTTGTCCTCCAGCATCCAAAGCACACACACACACACACACAGAAATCAGTATTGTTCCAACTTGTGATTGGATCATTTCCTTCATCCACAGGTGGCAAGTGTAGGCAGTTGCCCCGATTATGCCGGAATCATAACAGGTGAGCCCATCAGAAATGGGGGCCAATGACCAAGCTGCCACCAGCTTACCATCTCCCTCCCCTCACAGAGCCTACAGAGTCACAAAAGCCCAGCCCGAGAGGGAAGACCCAGATGGAGCCAGAGCCAGGGCCGATGGCCTGAACCCCCTACCTTCCCAACCCTGCCTGCCCTGAGGGCTGTCCAGCTCCCCAGGCACTGCCCTCACGTTGACCATTCTGTCAGAAAAAAAGTAAAGCACTGCAATCCTTGTCTGTCAATCTCTGGTCATTCATGTCTGGGAGTGGAAGAAGTGGCAGGAGCTGGGGACAGGCTCCCTGAGGACTAACATGAGGAGGTCACACTAAAAAAACAAGCTAAGAGATATAGTGAATGAAGCCAGCCTGGGGTGAAGCAGGAGGGATGGGGGAAGGGCTGCAGGGGTTCTGGTCAGTGCTGGATGCTGCCCATGACAACGTGAGACCGCCGGCCTGGTCCATGCGCAGAGCCTGGTGTCCAATGTCAGCTCACCCCTAACATTGGTAGGTAGCCTTGGTAACTGGGCTAGCTCAGTGGAGGTCCCAGCCCCTTGGTGGCCCCCTTTTCTTCACAGTCTGGGCCCCTCCAGCATGCACACATGAGTGTTGGCCTTACATGAGTGTGGACACCCAGCCTGCATATCTGAGCTTCATCCACACCCCAGCCCACAGATTGGGCTGACTCTTGATTTAGGGAGTGCCCACCAAGAAGCCACATAGGCCCTGGAGTGGGCTCAGAGAAATTTGGGTGGGGAACTGGGTCGCAGGTCCCAGAGCGTGGTTACGTTGAGCTCCAGTGAGCGTGGTTACATTACAGGCTCCAGTGGGCACTTCCTGAAGGCTCCGGGGTTCTTCAGCCTGTGAGGAGGGGCTCAACCAGACTAGGCCAGAGCAGGCCTCTGAAGCACAGGGCTTGGGGCAGAGGCCTCTACCCAGGTTTAAGGGTCTTCCTGCCAAAGGAAAGGGATAAGGTCCTGTTCACAGGTGGTTGCATGAGAGGATTTCACAAACCAGGTCACAGCCTATTCATGAATTACAAGGTCAGTTCAGTGGGCTGTGAGTAGCATAAAAAGAAGTAATAAGTTATAAAAGGAAATAGCAGTGTATCAAATAACACACACACACACACACACATATATATATATATCCTCTTCTCAATTTTTGCTACAATTTCATCCTATCTGTATTATTATATACTTTTATTTTAATAAATCAACTCACTTTAAAACTTAAGTACATTTATTTTTAAAACACTATCATGTATGGAAGAAGCACTGCTTCATATAAATAGAACATAGCCAGAAAGATAAATCTAATGAAAACAAACACATATATGTGCTATGTATCATAAATATGTGACATATTCTGTATTATGTATATACACATAAATTGTGAATAACACGTGTATGTGTGATGGATATTGTATGTGATATACATATAGGAATTATACTAAAAATATTTTTGATTGTCAGCTACCAGCAACAGAACAGATGCCTAACCAATCAGGAGGAAATATCACTCATGTACATATTATATGTATATTACATATGTACACGTACACATACATATGGTCAACTCTCTTTTTAACTTAAATACATTTATTTTAAAAGTTACAATCATATATGGAAAACCAGTACTGCTCGATATAAATAGAAGATAGCCATAAAGATAAACCCAGTGGAAAGTAACAAGCAGAAAGATTAAGTGCATTTTAGCTGGAAACTGACATGTTGGCCAAGGGCTCTGAGCCAGGGAGGAGGGACTGCTCAGTTGGAGGGACCACCAATTGTCTGCCCAAAGACACTGCAGAGTTCGGGAGGCCAAGGCCGCTCTCACTTCTGACACCCACTGCGTTTGTCCCCAAGGCCACCCTTAGGTTCAATGATTCACTTGCAGGACTCACAGAACTCGCTGAGAGCTGTTATACTCTCAGTTAGTTTATTACAGTGACAGGAACCAGGTTAGTATTTGCCAAGAAAAGAGACACATGGGCAGAGACTAGGAAAGTTCCAAGCACAAAGCTTCCAATTGTCCTCTCCCAGTGGGGTCGTGGACAGTGCTACCTTCTGGCAACTGTATGACAACTTGCATGAGGTACTGCCAACCAGGGAAGCTCCTGCAAGCCTTGGTCCAGAGCTTTCATGGGAGCTCAGTCACAAAGACATCACAGACCAACCACACGGTCACCTTAGTTTCCAATTCCTTTGGATGCTGAGCTGGTGCCTATGGCCCACAAACCCGCCCCCCTCCCC